GTTGGTATCCGTGTGGGGGAAAGTTTAGGTGCTCAATTGCCCTGTCTTGAGCTTATCACCAGACGAATGTCCACTGGTCCTTCCGTATTGTAGTTGGTAAAAGTGAAAAAATGGATGGCTTTGGGTGTCCATTCCCTACCGTATTAATAGCTGTCAAATATGGGGATATTTTGGATATAAACTAGTGTATATATATGTATTGGGACTCTCTTTAGGGATTTCATGGCATATTTATCCCCCGATGTTGAATTGTGTAATTGTGGAAGTTATGAATTCATGTATTCTTCCTTAAATTAATACTATCAGTTGAATTAAATATGTTTGATTGTGATAATGCCATATGAATTTCGAATAACTAGATACTTTGTTAAAAGTACTTTTACTGTCATCTAGCTCACTCCTATCTAAGAATTTCAGGAATCGGTGATGTGCAACCACCCCTATGGGAAAGAGGGGGACTCTTTTGTTTTGTTGGGACACGAAGGCCCATGGATGTGTTATGTGAAAGCTTCGAGCATACGTATTTTGGGACCGCGTGTCCATTTTGTTGTAACAAGGTCTTGCCTTAATGTTTATACGCCATTAAGGCATTATTATTTTTATCCTTTAGCTTCTTGAACTTTGTTATGTTGTTGTAACTAAGACAAGAAACTTAAAATTTGTAATATTTGATATATAGTTCAATGAAAAAGAGGGCTTTTGGGATTAATGATATTTTTTGGCATGGTAAGATTTCAGATTAATCATGTTATAAGTAATGTTTTAATTTAATTAATTTTGGGGCGATACAAGTGGTGGTTAGGGTTATGTCAGGTTAGGTTTGGTTTGAAGGAGTTAGGGGTATTTTTGACAAGGAAGGATGTGTACTGAACAAAACTTGATGTTTAAAAATCTTAAAGTGTGTACCTTGAGAAAAGATGTGCACTAAGAAGATTTAGTGTATAGAAATAGAATTACTCGGCCGTAGAGTTTCTATTTCGACACACCACATTATCTTGCTTCACACACATTTTTGGTTCAGAAATCAACTTCTAAACCATGTAGTTTTGTTCAAAAATCAACATTCCAACGAAAAATAGCATGTGAGCTGAATACAAGTTGTGTGCGGAAATAGAAGCTCCCTAAGCGGGCTTTGATGCAAAGTGATGTTAAATATTTGTCCCAAGTTTTGATCTTAATTATTCTTTATATTATTATCAGAAGGATCCATCCTTCCTTACCCTTTCCCATACACTTGCTAAAAATTAGTTTTATCATACTTTTTTTTTTTTTTGAATGAGAGTGTGTTTGGTTGGAACATATACTATGGTTTGGTTTTATTGATTTGATGTAAAAAGAGGATTTGTTTGAATTTTTAAAGGATTTTATAAAATCTTATAAAATTTCACATTAAAAATAAATAAAGAAAAGATCTAAAAATTGCTATATAAATATTTTTTATTTTTATTTATTTATTTATTTTTTATCATAAAAGTGTATTATATTAAGGGAAAGTATCAATAAATCTCATTTTCATATCTTAGTAACTAATAAGTCCTCCAAATAATCTAATGAACCCAATAGTCCTATTTGTGTGGAAATGATAGTATAACCCTACAATTTGCACTTGTGAATGCTATTTAATACCCCTAAATGATTGTAATCTCCACAGTTTGAAATTACAAATTTGCCTAAAGGGTTTTTATACTCATTTTGAAATGTTTGAAAAATCCACATTTCAAGCCATTTCAAATCAAAACCCTACAGTTTGAAATTATACATTTGTCCAAAGCTTCATAAGGGGCTTTTGTACTCCTTTTGAAATGTTTGAACAATCTCACATTTCAAGCCATTTTAGATCAAACCCCACAGTTTAAAATTACACATTTGCTCAACACTTACTTAGGGTTTTTGTACTCTTCTTGAAATGTTTGAAGGATCCTACATTTCAAATCATGAGGGCTGTTATATACCCCTACCTTTATTCTTTGGACCCTCCATTTCTTTGAACCCTCACCCAACAAAAAGAGTTTCCTTCATTTTTTCTTTGAACCCCTGCCTATACCGCTAATTTTCTGAACCCAAACCCTAACCCTAATTTTCTCTTCCACCCATCCCCTTCCATCTCCACTGCAGTAACCATCTATCGCCACCCACTGCTATTAGTCCTTCCCTGCCCATCGGTTTTTCGTTGCCACCTCCAGTCTTCTCTCCTCTCCTCGAGCCATCGCCGTGAGGCCCCCCTCACAGATCTAGGGTTTGTGCGAACTAGATCTGGGTTTGTGCAAGCATTCAAATTTGATTTTTGAAAACTAGATCTGAGTTTGGGAAGCAGAAGAATTTGGGTTTAGGAAGCAGAAGAATTTGGGTTTGCAATGCTAAGACGAACCTCCGTTTCTTGATGGTGTTGATGTGAGAGAAGGGCTCGATCTGGAGGACCTTGTACCAGTCTAATGTTACGCTTGCGGTGGCGCCATTGTCAGTGGTGGTGGTAGAGGTAGCGGCGATGCAGAGGATTTTGAAGGTGGTGAGGATTTCGGAGAGGCCATCGAGTTCGGTGAGGATTTCAGCGGGCTTCTTCTCTCTCGCTCTTGCTATGTCTTCTCATCCATTTTTAGTGGTGGAGGAGGGCAGTGGTGAGAGTGGTTGTGAGGGACTGGCAGTGGTGGCAAAATCACTGGAGATGGAAATAGAGGTTGCCAGTGGCAGTGGTGGTCGCCGGTGGAGATGGTGGGGTAGGGTTTGGAAAATTAGGGTTAGGTTTAGGGTTTGAGAAATTAGGATTAGAATGTTAGGGATGAGGGTAAAAATGTAACTTCATGTTTGGACAAAATTGAAAAAAAAAATGAGGAATCCAAACAAGAAAGGTAGGTGCTAATAGTAGCACTCCAAATCATTCTAAATCAAAATCCCACAATTTGAAATTACACATTTATCCAAAGCTTAGTAAGGGATTTTTGAAAAATCTCACATGTCAAGTCATTTTTGTACTCCTTTTGAAATATTTAAAGAATCCCACATTTCAAGGCATTCCAAATTAAAAAGGTTCCCATATCAGAATCCATCCCAAATTTGAATCTCATATGTTGTGTATATTACCTTTTTAGCACAAAAGAAAAAATAAAAAAAGAAAAAAAAAGAAGAAGAAAACATAATGAAAATAAGGGTATAACCGTAAACCCAATTTTCAAAGAACATATTAAATTTATCTTTCCAAAATCAATGGGACTAATTAGTCCATAAGAAAATCATTGGGACTAAATGGATCACCATTTCTCAAGATGAAATTTATGGATAAATATTCCTTATAATCACTTACCATATAATGCTCAAAGAATTAAAATATAAAAGTACTTAAATATAATATTCTGTTGATTTGATTTGCATTGGTATAAAAATATTTAAAACCAAAACAAACTGTATATTATGGAAACAAATTGAAAACTGAAATTTGTGTTGGTTTCAATCGGTCGATTTAGTTCTATTGGTTTTTCTAACATCCTAGCTACACGTATGTTTACCATCTTAAAGCATTTCTAGCGGCATGACAAAGCCATTTTTTAGCAAGACTTCTCAAATTTGCACTCTTATCTGTCAAAAGGCTTGCCAAATTATAGTACTATCATATCTTGTGTTAAATTTGATAGAGAGTCTGATATTGTTAGATCTTTCAACAGAGTAAAATCCAACTATCATCTTCAAAAATTAATAAATAAATAAAAAATCAAAAACTCAACTAGATTTGGTGGTGTATCATAGAGGATTAATAAATAAATAAAAAATCAAAAACTCAACTAGATTTGGTGGTGTATCATAGAGGAGTACACTAGAAGCCAAGTTTGGGATTCATCGATCTAGATCTGTTACATCTAAGGCATTGATCATTGGTAACTCGATGATGAGGGTACCATCTGTTCCATCTAGGGCATCCATATAGGCAACAGTCGATGGGGTGTGTGTGTGTGAGAGAGAGAGAGAGAGATGAGAGAAATCTCTAATGAGAGGCATTATAAAGAGACGTAGAGTGAGAGATGGGAGACAAAGTGAGAAAGGTGATTAGCGGAGCTAAAACGAAAGATTGCCAAAATAAAAGATGATTATGGAAGTTAAACCAGAAGAGAAATATGGTTGTGCCAAAATAACATTGTCAAAATTTGATATTTTGATACTATAACTTGTCAAATTATGACTTTAGTACTACAATTTTGACATTCACTGTTGGATATGCTATTTCCAAAATTTAGCAATAGTAAAAATTATTTTCTTCTTCAGTGGTTTTGCCATCCCCTGTACTAAATTATAGCAATCGTAATTCTTGGGCCAAATTTAACACGAGGTTTAACATTGCCAAATCTGTTACATCATCCAACTCAACTCCATTTTTTCTTTCCTATCCCTTTTTCCTAGAAACATCACCCACCTTAAACAACCACAAACAGAAAAAAAAAAAAAAAAAAAAAAAAAAATATATATATATATATATAGCAGAAACAACACAAACCCAAATTTTGCAATTGAAAAAAAAAAAAAAACAAAACAAAAAACTACAAATACTTTCATGCTGTCTATAAACAACAAACACAAAAAAAAAAAACCCACAAAAATAAAAGACAAACTAATTGCTTCTTAAGGAAAAACCATATTTGCAGCAATCTTTCAGGACAAATATATATATATATATATACACGCCATTTATTTTAATCAATGCTGATTTTCTTCTACTGTTCCTCCTAACATTAAAGACAAAAAAAACAAAAGAAATAGCTTCTTTGCAATCCACTACCATGCCGGTTTCCCTAGATCCACTTTGTGGGCTCATCTTGATAATCTAAATTGTTCATTTTGTAAGGTTCATCGAATAAACCATCCATACCAAAAATCAAGTTAATCAGAGATCGATAGCTACATGATCAAATCACATTTTTCAAAGCATTTTCCTTCGAAAAAATGAATGGCATGTATCATTTCCTGAATTGACCATTCATTTTTTTCAGGAAAAAAAAAGCGTAAATTTGCAAAGATTTAACAAATATCATATTATCATGTCATCTATGAACTTTACATTTAAAGCATTCAATTATAAGAATCGTACAAATGTCCAACTGCTCTGGACTGAGCTCATCTCACATACACCTCAGCCAGAGAGAGGAAGAAAAATATATTTAAATACATGAAAGAATAATTCTTCAATATATTTAAAGAATAATTCAATATATTTAAATGCAAAGGCAATACATATATGAGAATTAATTACAAGGATGAACAGCCGCAAAAGGACTTGAAGGGCCTTGTACCTTATGTACCACTTGAACTGATCATAATACCGTTATATATGAAGAAGCCAAACCTTTTTGTTTTCCTCATGGATGGTATTTGCTGTAAATCAGCGTCGTTTAACCTCCAGGTTTGAAAGATGCAACCAATCTGATTCATCAAGCTTCCATACAAGGTTAATCATCTGTGCCATAGTTCCAGAGATCTTTCAGCTCACCTCTAACCAGACCCAAGATGACAGAAACCCCTGAGGTACAAAATTGAATGAAAAAAAGTTGAGAAATGTAATCCAAGTATCCAACAAAATTCCCATTAAGTATCCATAAAGATTATATATATGCAATCTCAGCTTTAAGTGACAACGACACAATTATTACCTAATGTACATGGAACAAGGTATAGGAGAGCAGGTTGACCATGTCCATGCATTAGATACAAGCCTAGGTAAGTGAAAAAGAGGCCTGCAGTAAGAAATTCCTTCATTAGTCTCGGACAATATATATATAATTCCATGCAATATGCACAATTTCCAAAAGGAAAATGGTATACAAACATAATTCTCATACAAATTCTCATCTAGAATGATGTGGAAGTGGCACTTTTGAATTTTAAGTCCAGCTGATGGGTCTGTTTGTATATGAATACTTCAATGTCAAGCCAGGTATACAAACATAATTCTCATACATAATCATTCTGTTAATTCTGTTTGTATACGAATACTTCAATGTCAAGCCAGGTCCTTCTATGAGTTGAATTATGCTTGGTGACACTTAAAACTTCAAAAGTCTCAAGCAAGGATTTTGGACAACTCTGGCTCAATGAAACAAACATGGCTAAATGCCTACTATGATAGCATTGTTGCTTTCCGGGTTGGATTCCAGCTTATGGGGTTTTAAGGATCAAATTCTTGACAGTGAGACACTTCCTATAGCTGCTAATGCTTACTCCCGCCTATTACGGTCCTGATTGGGCCAGAACTCCCCTCTGTCTGGTTCTGCTTCCTTTTGCCTGTTCTGCCTTGGTTTCTAGTAAGTAGTGGTTGTGGTTCTAATCATGGTGGTTTTCGTGGCAGTTCTGATAACAGTGATTCTACTGATGGGTCTCGTGGTCAAAATCCACATGGTGGGATCTCCAATACTAGTTCTTGTGAGCATACTTCATATGGTGGGGTTTCTTATAGTGGTTCCACATCCCGTGGTGACAGGAAGTGTGATCATTGTGGTTCCATTGGACATACAAAACCCCGGTGTTGAAAAAAGTATGGTAAGTCTGATTATGTGCATCAGGTTGCGAATGATGTCTCTCCATCCCAGTTGGGTCCTCCCACTTCTGATTCTCATGTTGCACTCACAACTCACAATAGTGAGCTTACTGACCTGGTCCATTCTCATATGTCTGGTAATATTGCATGAATTATGTGTTTAATGTCAATATATTACATTAGTTACTGACCTGCGGGCCTTTAATTGTATTTAATGTCAATCTATTTTGGGTCTGTAATATGTAGTTAGAAATTTACTTTCTATATTTCAATTATGTGTGTCATTTCATTTCATTTGGAGACGGCTCTATATTCTAAGTGAGGGTGTGCCATTGCAAGAGTGGATTTCTGAATAATTTAGTTAAAATTGGGCGACAGTGGCTAAACTTGACATTTTTGAAAATAAGATAAAAGGAGTATTTTTATCAATAGATCAATCTTTTACAAAAAAAAATAAAAATAAAATCAAGTTAGTCATTTTTTTCAATGCAAAGTACATCAGTCACTATTGAACCCTTTTAGCTAAATTACCACTTTTTGGCAATTTGGCAATTAAGGATTTCAATAATGAATATGGAGTATTATTTTGATAAATGATTAAATAATCAGCTTTTATAAGGCAAACTGGAAAATTTGTAAATGATAAAGGAAATGATTTGGGAAATGAAGTAAATAAAAATGAGTTTCTAACTAATAATCACGCTTAGATTAATTAGTTTTTGCCAAACTAAACTTTAAACAATCGGAACGTGACAGGAAATGTTGTGATGGGATGAGTAGTAGTATCAAAACAGAAAAATTGTTTGTGATGGATAGCCAAATGCAGTATAGACCAACAGATGTAACGACTATTTTCTTTTTCTTTATTGACATGTAACTAATGTGCTGACCATTAGGTACTAAGTTTGCAAGGATATTTGTCCAAATTCTTACATTAAGTAAACAGACTGATCACCAATTTGAATTACACCTTGTACTATTTGCAGATTTTTTTAACATTCTAAGGCACACCAGCACACTGCTTCATATGCAGTGCCATCTAGTTTGACGGGTTAAGCCTATTCACAAATACCATTCAATAGAGGCTTTTTTTTTTTTTTTTTTGCCTAAGCCTGACCATTATATACAATTGACACAAGTTCCATTCTCATTCAAAATTTATGGAGGACAAAAAATCAACATCATAGAAGTGCATTTAAGTGAAGAAAACACAAACCAATGCAGGACTACCTACCTGATCCATAGCCAATTGTCAACCAAAGGAAGTATCCATTTAGTACACCCTTCTTATTGGCTTTGTCATACCTGGAACAACCAAAGGAAACCCACAAGAATTACAAACAACAGACAAAACTTTGAAAAAAAAAAAAAAAAACCACGAAACTTATTAGAATAAGAAAACTAGTCTTATAATATCAACATATTTTCATCTAGCAAAAGATCCTGAACGAATTGAAAGGCCAATTGAAAGGATCTCTTAAAACATTTGCTATTTGGCACTTCATAAGTTAGAGCATCATCCAAAGATCTGATAACACTTAGTCAACAATGCATCAGTAATTTAATGTTTCCCCTGGGCCTTTTGTGTCTTCTTTAACAAGAGCTCAATATCACACATCATAAAAGGATGAAGTTGGCATCTGACCATTAATGTTGTAAAACAAGCATACAACATTTAAAAAGCATGGCTCTCTAAAATAATGAAGAGAAAAAATCACAAGCTCATATACGTTTCCTTTTATTCTAGACATAAGTCGTGGCATAGACAGACTGTAGTGATCCCAGTTTTGTCACTTCGCTGAGTATGTCGGGGATCGAGCAGCCCGGTCAGCTCACGGGGGTCCAAGGGCAGTGCCCCTTGGCGGGTCGTAGGGCATCGCCTTGGCGGGGTTGAGGGGCAGCGCCCCCGAAGCAAAAATGCAAAAATGCAAAATGCATTAGAAATTGCTTGTCCCCTCAAGCGGCCGTTTATGCGCTCGAGCGGAGAATGTTTGGTTTCAGAAGTTTGACCTGCCTGCAAAAGTACTAGGAAAGTGTATTTGACGCTCGAGCGGGGCGTTCCACGCTCGAGTGGACCATGTTATATCAGTTCGTGAATCTGATATTTCAGATCAGTTTTGTATATCTCTCTCTCTCTAAAAACCCTTTCCTCTCCCTTCTCTCTTCATTTCCCTGCGCCAAATTGGATCAAAACCTTGATTTCTCGAGATCTATTAGAGTTCTGCCATAGGTTCTTCATCAAAGTTGGTTAACTTTTTGAGGGCTTCGTTGTGTGCGGTGAAGATCAAGTTTCGACACCGTTGATTTTGGGAGTTTCATCTCATTTCTTCTTCAAAACTTGAGGTAGGGATTTTCTTAGAGTTATATATATATTTTTGCAAGATCTATATAATTTTCGAAATCATCTTTCGATAGCTTTGAAAATTGATTGTTGATTCGAGAAGTTGAGCGATTTTGAAAGTGGGTTTGTCTCTTGTTCTTTTAAAATGATCTTATGGGTTTTGATTTTCGTTGATTGAAGAAAAGATAATTTTGAAAAGTTTTCTTTCAAAATATTTGAGTCGTATAGTTTTGGTAAGAAAACCTAAAATTTGGAAAATTTTTTTAGAAGACTGAAAATCCATGAATGATATTGTTATATTTATTTTGTGTCTCAAAATAAATTGATGTTTGAAAATTTTCTTATTTATATTTATATAAATGATGAATTTCAGGGAATATAAGGATTGTTGTTCATTTTGAAAATTATTGTTCAAAACGTTGAAATAGTCTTGAAATAACTAATTGTTGAGGATACTTGAGAAAAGGGAATTGTCTTATTCCTTGGATGATGAATTGGAATAAAAGTATTTATATTCATATTGTGAAATTGGCATATCAATTCATTTGATTATATTAAACTTTGAAAGTTGATTTGAAAACTTACATTGAGAAAAGAATGTTGAGAAACAAGTTTTCATGGAATAGTTTTGGAGTAAATACGTTGGTAAGTCTTGAATAGGTGGTGTAGATGATATTGAATAAATTGGCCTGAGAGTCCGGGGTGAAAGACCGAAAACCCGCGCGGATAGGTGTTGAGCCTTCCGGTTAATACCGGTAAAAATGACAATTTGATAGTACTTGTATAATCTACTTGCAGACACCGACCTAGGGATTACCAGAGTCGTATTTACCGCCATTGAAATAAATTGTTAGGTTTTGAGCAATTGAAATTGAATGATATCATTAAGCATGATGGTTTTCAAAAGATGAAAATGTGATTTATCTTTACAAAGGACATAGCATGGCATGTGCATTTCATCTCTTGAGACTTGAATAAAATGTATATACTTTGTTAAGAATTTCCTACTGGACTTTATGCTCACCCTACGGGATTTTTGTGCAGGAAAAGATGTGGTGATCCCACCCAACTAGGGGCGTGAAAGTACGTGTGTTGGGAGTACAATACTCTCATTTTGCTGTGACTCTGTGTGTAAACCAAGGGTTGTGTTTGTGTGGGTTTGAATAATCGTTTTGTGTAACCAGGCTCAAGTCTTGGAAACTTGTAAACCCTTGAGGGTATTTATTTGTTTATTTACTTGTTGTTGGATTAATGTATTGTTGCGTGAAGAACTATTGTATCATGTAATGTAAGTTTGAAGATTTATATTCGGTTTTCTTTGAAAAAGCCATGATTGTTGTATTATCATTTGGGCTATAAATTTGGGGCGTTACACAGACAATGGTTATAGTGACATGATACCATTCCTTACCCAAGTGCAATGAATCGAGATTTAGAGCACCCATCATAAAGCATTATCGGGGATTTCTAGCCCGCAGGTGTTGAGGCTTCTTAATGGTTAACTGAAACCACTGGTGCTATAAGTCTGTGCATTACAAACAGTTCACATCATAGAAACAATACATGATAAACTTCATTTATCCAAGATAAAAAAAAAAGAAAAAAAAAGAGGAAAATTACCCCTTGTGAATATGTAATTTTCTTTTCTTTCATTCAAATTTACTTGCTTGGGAAAAAAAAAATGTAGAAAATGATGGAATGAAGAGTAATGTGGTAGTTTGATTTTTCAAAGTGCTAGGGTGCTTGGTATTGTCAAAGGTTTGGATACTAAAAAGGGTGAGGGAGGCTGACCCGAAGAAGAGGTGATGGGAAGGGAAGAAGCCAAAGTGGAGCTAGGCCGAATAATTCTCATGAAAGAAACAAAGTGGAGATAGAATGGCTCAGCGGAATAACTCCCATGAGGCTGTGTTCGGATCCAGGATTTGGAGAGGGATTTATGTAAGGAAAGGAAAAGGGAAGGGAAAAGTCACAAAAAATCATCTTATATTTGATTCTCATTTCTCTCAACTTTTCTTTTCCCTTCATAAATCCCTCCCCAAATCTAACATCCTGAAAGAAATTAGTTGGAGGGGTCCTTGGTATTATCAAAGGTTTGGATGCTAAAGAGGGTGAGTGAGGCTAACTTGAAAAAGATGTGATGTAGAGGGAAGAAGCTGTTAGAATTTACCATAACCCACTCCACCTACCACCTCCACTACCACACACACTCACCTACTTCACCTACTTTCCTACACCTACCACACACACTCACCTACTCCCAAATCCTCTCCTATATAATAGGAAGCCTTGTAACATCAACAATACAACAAACATAAATCAATCATTAATACAATTCTCTATTTCTCTTTATACATTAAATTTCTACAGAAGCCAAAGTGGATCTAGGCCAATTCTCATGAAATAAACTCTCGTGAAAGAAATAAATTGAAGACAGAAATTGAGGGCCACATGGTGAAACAAAGGGAACTAGAATACACAAGTTTTCCAAAGACTTGTGAATTTCCATAGGAAACAATCACATAAGAATTTTAGATATTAAATGGGTAGAAAAGCAGGAGGATATTGGGTGGTTGGTTAGGTTTTATGAGAAGCTCTACTTCTTGACTTGTGATAAGAGGCACTTTCGTATTATTTCACAAGACAACATTTTAGAAGAAAACTCAAGGGCCAAAACTCTTAATTGTTACTTGGTTAAGGGAAAGAACAAGAAGCAAGATGTAGAGGGAAGATCAACTGGCAAGTCAGTTTAAAGCTATGAACACATGACATTTTAGAAGATTCAAAAGCTCTGAAAATTCTCCATAACATATTTTAATTAGATTAGAAACATTACATTGTTTTATATATACTAGAGAGATCTCCTATCCCAACTAGAATGACTTCCAATTTTTTTTTTAGCCCAATTAAAACACATTTGGAGACCCCACAATATAATTTTGAGAATTTCAAATGGGAAATTTTCTATCAAGCAATAGTTCAACACCTCCACTTAACTATTTATTTAGAATGTTAAAGCAAGAACTAAAAATACCTTAGAGCAAATGAAACAAGGAGACCAGGAAAGAGAATGTCTCCAAAGCCAATCATATTGTAACCACCCCAAGGATCAAAAAGTTTTGGAATTCTCAAAAGCATTGGAATGGATTCTCCGCCACTGTTGTCACCCCGAGCAACCTATGTTAAAAAAAAAAAAATATATCAAGTTGGCTAAATTTTAAAAAATAAAATAATAATAAAAGTCATTTAAACTGAGAATGTGAATACCATGTATTTTGACCAAATTTTTGTTTTGTTTTGTTGTTTTGTTTTTTTTTTGTTTGTTGATAAATAAGTATTTTGACCAAATTTTAGATGATCAGAAATAAAATGGCAGTTTATTCATGACATAAAATTGTTAATTGACTTGTATCATCAACCTTGTAAGAAGTGTCTATCAAGCAATAAGCAACTAATATATTTGTGAATATTATTTCGAACATACATATGCTACAAAAGAAAAATCCAGGATGCAAATGATTGATATATTTGCATTCAGGACAAGTACAACAGTTGAAGCAACTAGCCAGCTAAACTCAACATTGATGTAGGTACGCATGTTTAAATCAGAGTAGATTTTTTGCTTTTCATCTTAGAGGCAGTGTGTGGCCCTTAATCAGAGTAATTATTTGTTTGCTTTTCTCCCGCTTACTAATGATGTCACCAAAAAATGGTTGTGACAAAATTTCTGATTGGATTGAGGCCTGAGTTTGAGCTGTCTATTCTCAGATTCTAGCAGGTGCTGAGCTTCTTCCTCTTGTTGAAGTCTATTCTAGCGTTTTATGTGTTACTTCTAGGGATAGCTCTTAGAGTTTTCTGTGACTTATATATTCCTGATCGTCCTGCTCTAGTCACACAAGAATCTTCACATGGGAAGGGTCATCAGTTTAATGGCTATAGTGGTGGTTCAAGGACTACTCATTGTTAATCATATGGTTTAATTTTGATGATGTCTAAAATATTATTTGATAAATTGTTTTTTTTAATATATATATTTTATATATTCTTTGTCACAAAATATTATCTGTTTAAAATATATATTGTTTGATGTATTTGTTATAAATATTAATTAAATGGAAGGTACTGTGTTATATCTGACTTTACGAAATATTTTGCAAATTTTACTATTCACATTTGGAAAATCCCGTTCATCAGTATTTATTTTTTGACAAATTTGGTATTGGTGAGTTGTCATCTTTTGACGAATTTGATATTGATTGGTTGTATTCTTTTGACATATGTGATATTGGTCGGTTGTCATCTTTTGATAAATTTGATGGGTTGTCTTCTTTCAACAAAATTGATATACCCACATAGGGTGGTAGGTTATTTTTATTATAGTGTATTTAAAATCCCTACAACAATTACAAAAATTATAAAGAGAGAGATCTATTATAAATGTTATTTAAATAGATTTTACTATATATACAAATATTTTAATAGAGATTTTACCGTGCATACAAATATTTTAATATAAAGGTTACTATGTAAGTCACTGTGCAGCCTTTGTTTTTTACGTAATTGTGTTGAAATTTTGCTATCACTATTTATTGAAAGCGACCTTGGCCAAAATTTTCAAATCTCAGCGTGAATCTAGCGAGCTGCCAGAGCTGCAATGTGCTTTCTCCTCGTCCATGTGATCCAATGTCAAGAAGGAGAGTCCTACCTCAGCGGCTAGTATTTTGAGTATATATAGAAGTGTTTTGGTTAGAGAAAAATAAGAAGTGTTGAAAAGAAAAATTCTATGATATTGAAGTGTTCCCAAATATTATGTTGTGGGCTCTCAGTGATTAATTATTTCTATTGAGAGAAAATCTATTGAGATTTTGAGCTTTTATTGTAAAAGGGTCTTACATCCCTGATTCTTATTCTTGTAAAAAGAGTGATAATTTTAATGTGAGTGATTTGGGTTGAATCACTTGTTGCAAAGGTTTACTAGCACCTGTGATGCTAGTGGTGTTGTTACTATTTGAAGAATAGTAGAGAACTCTCAAGGAGGAACATGAGGAGTGGACATAGGCCCGATTGTGCCGAACCACTATAAATTACTGAGTTTGCTTTCTCTTCCCTTTACTTATTTTATTTTTTTATTACTCTCATATATATTGCTCCGTATATTTATTTATCTATTCAACAATATATCTATTTGTATACGGAATAGATAAATAAAAAATTCACAAAAGGTTATTTATCTATTTATTTATTTGGGCTAAAATCCAATAGGTGAATTTTGTAATAAGGCAATAAGGTTGAATATGGAGAGATAATAGAGACAGAAAAGACAAAAGAAATAACACAAAGGTTTAATGTGGTTCAACCAATATTGGCCCATATCCACACACACAATACCCTATGGGCCACATACACCTTTCATTCACTCAACTTCATACTCTTGTTTACATAATACACCATATATATAAAGGTGGAGATACGATCAAATCTCTTCAAATAAGGAATTGAAATAAATTAAAGACAAAAAAAATCATTATAAGCACAAATCATGGGATCTCCATATATTCTAATATCTTCCATGTCTTATGATATCTTTGACAATATAATCTTATATCCAACACTCCCCCTCAAGTTGGAACACGGAATGGTTGAAGTGAAGTATCCAACTTGAACTCAAAAATAGGATGATCATTACAAACAACTACAATGAAGTTGCTGAAAGACAACAACAATTGTAATAACTCTCTTTAATCACAACTTCAATGAACATTGGCAATGAATCAACATCTTGCAATAGAGAAACGTACATTGAATAAATCATGACTGTAGTCACAGAAACCAACAGGAGAGCGAAAGCAACAAGGCCAAAAACAACGGCAAATCACCATAAATTGAAAGGCCGAAAAAATAGCATCCCACAAAGAATGCCACCGAACACACCGATAGCCAAAACATAAAAAAAGAACCAAATATGTGCTTACTACATTAGCACAAGGACCCTAAAAGGGTAGAGAAGTAGCCGGAAAACTTGGTGTTTCATAGAATAATGCTACCGAACACACCAACAACCCCAAAACAAGTAAAAATCACAAAGTTTGCTTACCACATCAGCAAACTATTGGTCAACTCAAGGAAGCGGGAAAAAGACCTTGATAACAAAAAAGGCGAAGTAAGAAAGCATTCTAGAAAGAAAAAAGCCTAGGGTTTGGTTGGCTTTGATATCAAGTTGAATTTTGTAATAAGGCAATAACGTTGAATATGGAGAGATAATAGAGACATAAAAGACAAAAGAAATAACACAAAGGTTTGATGTGATTCAGCCAATATTAGCTTACATCCACACACACAAAGCCTTGTGGGCTACATCTTTCATTCACTTAACCACATACTCTTGTTTACATGATACACCATATATAGAGTAGGAGAAACAATCAAATCTCTTCAGTTAAGGAATTGAAATAAATCAAATATACAAAAAATCATAATAAGCACAAATCATGGGATCTCCATGTATTATAATATCTTCCATATCATCCAATATCTTTGACAATATAATCTTATCTCTAACAATAGTCACTACAATAGTGGTAAAGGTAGTGCTAATCATGGTAGTGGTGGATTTTCTAGTGATAGTCGCAGTGGTTGTGGTAGAGCTCCTGTGAGTGTTCTCATTATAAATTGAGCAATCACACATGAGAGAAATGTTGGGATCTCATTGGCTGACCTCCTCAGTATGGAAATGCAGTGACTTTTATCCGTGTTGATTCTTCGTCATCTTTTACTCATGTTGAGGAGAAAACTGTAGTTGTCTCCAAGGAAGAGCACTCTAAGTTCCTTCAGTATTAGGCATCCTTGCAAGCATGTCTTCCAGTTAGGGTTGCAAACGAGCCGAGCCAAGCTTTAGTATGTTTGGGCTTATTTATTAAGATTTTAACAAGCTCGAACTCGAGCCAGAGGTCAATAAAAATTTAACGAACTGAGCTCAAGTCGAGTTTGCTTAGGCTTGACTCGAGCTCAAGCCTATTCATGAGCGTTAATGAGCCAAAAAAATTATAAATTCATACTTGCATATGAGACTAAAGTTACAATTGAAATTTTGATTATACAACTATATATATTTTATAATACAATATATATAAACATACTAAAGAAAAGTCCATATCTTACCAAAATAATAATATCTTCCACTACTAGTATGTAAATGTATTATCTATAGTTAGCTATTATTTACATAAATTTAGCTATTATTTACATTCATATTATTTAAATATATAAATAACATATTTATCCTATGTTTTATGCATATTTTTACAATACTTAAAATATAAATAATATATTTATTCTATTATTTAATAAATGTTAAATGAGCTAGCTAGCGAGCCGAAGTAACGAGCTGAGCTTTAATATGTTTGGGCTTGTTTATTAAGATTTTAACAAGCTCAAGCTCGAATACAACAAAAATTTAACAAACCGAGTTCGAACGAGCCCTTACCGAGCCGAGCTCAAGCCTGTTCACGAATGACTTTGTTCATTTGCAGCCCTACTTCCAGTAGCATCTTTAGCTCAGAAAGTTGCTTTTGCTGCTTGTTTTTCATCTTCATCTTCCTCTTTTTCACATCTGTGGGTTATGTACATCTCATATGTTTTCTCATTTCCACTCTTCCTCATCTTTACCTCATGTCACCTTAGCAGATGGTTCTAGCACTTCTGTTTGGGCATACGAACAGTGCAACATACTTCTTCCCTTTCTTTGTCCCTTGTTCTTTATATTCCATGTTTACCATTTAATTTGATATTTGTGAGTCAACTTACCAAATCTCTTAATTGTTCTGTTGCCCTTTTTCTTGATTCGGTTGTCATTCAAGATTCGGTTATGCGAACAACGATTGGCAAAGGACATGAGTCAAATGGTCTCTATTATCTAGACAACAAAGTGCTAATAGTTTATCCTCATACTTACCTAGCAGTAGCATCTATTTTGTAGATTCATTGTCTTCTTGGTCATCATCCTTGGAGAATTTAAAGCATTTGATTCCTATTTCGAGTTCAGTATTAGTTCTAGAGTGTGAGTCTTGTCAATGGGGAAAGCATCGTTGTCTTGTGTCCCTTCTGCTTCCTGAGTCAATAACCCTGTGTCCAGTCCTTCCATGTTAGTTCATTAAGATGTTTAGGGTCCTAGTCGTGTT